GGAGGCCCCCGCTGGGCCCCGAGGCGGCGCCGCTGCTGTCGCACGGGGCGGCGGTGGCGGCGCAGGCGCTCGTCCTCCTGCTCATCTTCCTGCTGTCTAGTCTGGGCAACTGCGCCGTGATGCGGGTGATCGTGAAGCACCGGCAGCTCCGCACCGTCACCAACGCCTTCATCCTGTCCCTGTCGCTGTCCGACCTGCTCACGGCGCTGCTCTGCCTGCCCGCCGCCTTCCTGGACCTCTTCACGCCGCCCGGGGACCCGGCGCCCGCCGCCGCCGCGGGGCCCTGGCGCGGCTTCTGCGCCGCGAGCCGCTTCTTCAGCTCGTGCTTCGGCATCGTGTCCACGCTCAGCGTGGCCCTCATCTCGCTGGACCGCTACTGCGCCATCGTGCGGCCGCCCCGCGAGAAGATCGGCCGCCGCCGCGCGCTGCAGCTGCTGGCGGGCGCCTGGCTGGCGGCGCTGGGCTTCTCCCTGCCCTGGGAGCTGCTCCGCGCGCCCCGGGAGCCCCCGGCCGCGCAGAGCTTCCACGGCTGCCTGTACCGGACCTTCCCCGACCCCGCGCAGCTGGGTGCGGCCTACAGCGTGGGGCTAGTGGTGGCCTGCTACCTGCTGCCCTTCCTGCTCATGTGCTTCTGCCACTACCACATCTGCAAGACCGTGCGCCTGTCGGACGTGCGCGTGCGGCCCGTGACCACCTACGCGCGCGTGCTGCGCTTCTTCAGCGAGGTGCGCACGGCCACCACCGTGCTCGTCATGATCGTCTTCGTCATCTGCTGCTGGGCGCCCTACTGCTTCCTGGTGCTGCTGGCCGCCGCCCGGCAGGCCCAGGCCACGCAGGCCCCCTCGCTCCTCAACGTGGTGGCTGTCTGGCTGACCTGGGCCAATGGGGCCATCAACCCTGTCATCTACGCCATCCGCAACCCCAACATTTCGATGCTCCTAGGGCGCAGTCGGGAAGAGGGCTACCGGACTAGGAATGTGGACGTTTTCCTGCCCAACCAGGGCCCGGGTCTGCAGGCCAGAAGCCGCAATCGCCTTCGAAACCGCTACGCCAAACGGCTGGGGGCCTGCGGCAGGATGTCCGCTTCCAACCGGGCCGTCGGGATGGGAGGGGACGTGGCCATGTGGGCTCGAAAAAATCCAGTTGTGCTTTTCTGCCGGGAGGGGCCACCAGAGCCTGTGACAGCAGTGGCCAAACAGACTAAATCCGAAGCCGTGGATACTAGCCTCTAAGGGTTGGAATGCGCAGCTTGTGAAGGCAAATTTTCACTCGCTTTGTTTAATGACACAGGATTCCGGGGAGAATCGTGTATTTCAGAAAGCCAAACTTTAAAAAAGAGACAGGCGGAGGCTTGCCACCTTCTCCAAACAGCGTAGAACACCATGTTCCCTTCTTCTAAGGTGCCGAAAGGAATGTAAAAGGCAAAACTTAAAACAACTTAAACCACACAACCATGCATTGTGAACTTAAGTGACAAAAATAAAAGTCACAACTACTGAAAAGCTCATATTACTGGAATCACACTGTGAAACAAAAAAATTTATTTGAATGCAACCTGTATGTGTTCAAATACAGTGTAAATAGAGTTTGAGGAAAGAATGGAGACCCTGGGAATTGCTTGAAGGCCCCTCTAAATCACCAGCATTCAACAAAACTTCAGATTTTTAGAACTTGCACCTCCAACACATGCTTTGGGTGCTTAGGTTGGGAGCAGGTAATTCTTATCCTTACACACTTCGGTGGGCTCCCCCCACCCCCAATAATCTTTGTGGGAAATTTAAAATTCATATCCCATTGAAAACCATTCTAGAATTTTGAAAAGGTGGTTTATTGCTATAAAATTTAGCCATCTGAAGGGCAAATAGAAGTATGAAAGTAAAGAGATGGGGCTGTTTAAAAAAGTGTTCCAAGATTATGCTTTAAAATGTCCCAGGTGCCGGCCGGTTGCGTAGCGGTTAAGTGCACGCGCTCTGCTGCTGGCGGCCGGGGTTCATATCCCTGGCGCACACTGGCATAGCTTGTCAGGCTATGCTGTTTTGGCGTCCCATATAAAGTGGAGGAAGATGGGCACAGATGTTAGCCCAAGCCTGGTCTTCCTCAGCAAAAAAAAAAAAAAAAAGAGGAAGATTGGCGTGGATGTTAGCTCAGGGCTGATCTTCCTCACACGCACACAAAAAAAGGTCCCAGTTGAGGGACATGTTATGCCCTAAATTGTCTGCCTTGGGGGCTCTGAGGCTTTACTCTTACTTGAACCTGCTACCAAACAAGGTAATTTGGGATGCTGCTCTCAGAATGTTTTCACATTAAAAAAAAAATAACTTGCATAGTAGAAAGTCTGTCTTTTGAGATAATTGATTTTTGGACACAGCCAAAAATCTCATTTAAAGTCAAGTTGATTGACTCAGGTGAGTAATGCCACTTTTTTATATATAAAATATGAGAGCTCTATGAAGTAACAAGATTGGTTTTCCTATATAGTTTTTAAATAATGAAGATGATTCTAAAGAGGAATTCTAGAAATGTTTTGAGAAGTGGCGGCATTCTTGGAATAAGCATAGAGCTTTCCAAGAGGATTATCCTTTCCTACATTTGGAAGTTTGGGTACATTTGTTTAAAAAAAAGTGGATTGTTGCTTTATAGACATACCTTGCCGAAAATAACATAGTGTTTATTAGAAAGAGAGAATGGGGTGGGATGATTATATGTAATAGGATATTAATCACTTAGAAATAAAGTCAGAGAGGTGCTTCAATCAAGCTGGAAATATCTTCAGAAATGTGCAAAACAAAGATGCATTTAAAAAAATTTTCAAGCACAATTTAGGATTTGTGTATGTGAACTTTCTCACATTCAATGCCACTGTACACAGAATCATTTACTCAGAATTTTATAAGATGTTGTGTTTTCTCCCTCTTTGTTTCCTCCATCTTGCCCCTCTTGTCTTCAACTTTTCACACCCTTAATTTGCAAATATTTTCTCCCAGTTGGTGGGTTGTCTTTTCGTGTTGTTCCTGGTTTCCTTTGTCTTGCAGAAGCTTTTTAGTCTGATGAAGTCCCATTTGTTTATTTTTTTCTTTTGTTTCCCTTGTCCGGGTAGATAAGGTATTCGAAAAGATCCTTTTAAGACTGATGTCAAAGAGTGTACTGCCTATATTTTCTTCTAGGAGTTTTATGGTTTAACGTCTTACCTTCAGGTCTTTAATCCATTTTGAGTTAATTTTTGTGTATGGCAAAAGATAATGATCTACCTTCATTCTTTTGCACGTGGCTGTGCAGTTTTCCCAACACCATTTGTTGAAGAGACTTTCTTTTCTCCATTGTATGTTCTTAGATCCTTTGTCGAAGATTAGCTGTATGTGTATGTTTCACACCCTTAATTGAATAAATACTTTAAACTAGATATGAAATGATATCAGCTATCATATAAAGATTCAATATGAAATAGCCACCTTTTTTTTTCTTGTAAAGTATTTAAAGATGTTTATTGTACTTAAATTTTTGTGTGATAAGTGGGTGTATGTCATTATTTTGTAATCAAAGATGGAAATATATGATTCGTGTCAGAGATAAAGATGTTTTAATTATTTCCCCTTCTGAAGGCATCGTCAGTCAGAAGTTTATGAATTATCTGTATATATCTTGCAACACTCGATGTCATACAAAGTAGACGAGATAATCTCTCCTCTTTAGTACTTATAAAACATATACAGACTTAATGCAGCTGAACGAACATTTAACAGATATCTAAAGTATTTGCCTGTTAAAGGCAAGAAAGTTGTGATTTTTTTGGCATTGTGAGAAAGTCATGTCTGGAATTTAGGGAGAAAGATAAAGTCTTCCAGTTATGAAAGGTATCATAGAATAGGAATTCGGCAACTGTGCAAAAGGCAGAAAAAGAGAGATCTTAGAGGAAGGAGGCGAATGTGTTGCAAAATAGGGTATTCCCTGGGAAGAAGAATGGAAGGAAGGTGTTTAATAAATAAACATGGCATGGAATAAACCTGCCTGGTAAATGAAGAGAAATTGAGAGATTGGAAGCGACAAGATGGTGGTATGAAGGACTTTAAGGCAGAAAAGAAATTCCCATCCTAACTCTTAGTAGGTAGCGGTAGGAAGTTTTAGGAAAGGGATGGCTTGGGGAAGAGACCACTCTGTTAGTGATTCTAAGAGTTATGGTTGGCAAGAATGGGAGGGGAGAAAGAGAAAGTTTCTAATAAGTTACTGAACAATTTACAGTGTTGTGTATGTTTTTTAATTTGAGGCTACACAACTAGTCAGTGATAGAACTAGGATTTGAACCTCAGTGTTTCTGGCCTCAGAGCCCTATGTTCCCTTCTCTACCCTCTGTCGCCCCCACAAAGGCCAATGGATAGGAAACTAAGGATAAGAAGTTGTGGTACTACCATCATCATCATCACCATCATCATCACCATCATCGTCATCATCATCACCATCATCGTCATCATCATCACCATCATAGTCATCTACTGTTTTTCTTCCTACTTTACATAGGGCAACTTCCTGGGTGCTAAGGCTAATAAAAGGTAGAAAGCACAGTACCTGCCTTAAGAGGGCATACCGCCTAATTGAGGACCTTGTACTTTATAAAAATTGGCCATAATCAGCACTCTTTAGTTTACCTATGGGGAAGAAAAGGTGCAGCATTTTTGGAAGCAGTTTTCCAAGAAAGGAGATGGATTTGGAAGCAAAATACATATAGATACAGGCCAGCAAAAAATCTGGTCCAGTTGTAAATACTTAGAGTCAAAAATTAATGCCTTAAATAAAAAACGGAGAAAGAATGTCTCTCAAATAAATCTAAGACTTAGACCTTTCCTCATGCTGACTGAGTGCATGATTATAGTGACTGTGGGAAAAGGGGAAAGAGAAGCTATGAAATATTGGGATGTTTTCAATATTGCATAATACATAAAGGCCAGAATGTAATCCTTCATATCTCATTCTGCTCCCAGCTTGATATTTCATTTAAACTACAATAACAGCAACAAGTCATACTCAACATAATACATACAATAGCTCATTTAATCTTCAAAGCAACCCTCTGGGGGGGGGCACTATTGTTATCCCCTCCCATTTTACAGACGAGAAAACTGAGGCTCAGAGGTGCTATGTGATTTGCCTAAGGTCACGCAGGAAGTAAGTAATAGACATAAGATTCACACCTGGCAGGTTGGGCCAGACGTCCTGTCTTAACTATGCACTGTACAGCCTTTCTAATTTGTAAAAGACAAGGGAAACATGGAAAAGAGCCAGGAAAGATAAAGACGTTTATCAAACTGATGGGAAAATTGACATCATAAAATATAAAAGAGAGGATTTGTTTAATTTGGAGGACAGCTACATAAGATGTGTGTTTTTAAAATACATGAAGAGATTCTGAGCAGTTATTTTCTGGTGCAATCACAGCCCTGGATGACCTCAATCATCCATCTTCTCCATTCCTGCTCCAGGGTAGCTGAGCACAGCTGGAGAAAAATTATAGAGTCAGCTGAGTTAGGACCCTCCGCACCTAGAATACAGAGCCTCTCCCAAACCCTCCACCCTGCCCAGCAATTTGAAACTTTTTGCTCGGTGGCTCACTTTCTGACCACTTTAGTGACCCTGCAAACTTTCTCCACTCAAACTTTTAACTGACCCTCCCCTCTTGAAGGATGACCTTTACTCCTACTTCACGAGAAAATAGAAGCCATCAGATGCATATACCTTCATATTTTAGCCACCAAACCTTACAAACTAAACTGGATCTTTACCAGTCCTCAGCTCTGTCTTTCCAATAGTAAAGAAGCTGGTCCCTTCTTCAACCACAGAAATCTCATGCTATAAAGTATCTCCTTTCCCTGGTATCCTTAGCCTTTCCCGCTGAACCAAATTCCTCCCATGAGCACATAAACTCTCACTAAAAAGAAAAAAAAAAAAGCCGCTCCTATTCCTCCCCCGCTTTTCTTTCCCTCGGCTCCCTCCCTTCAGCTAAACTTGTCCCAAAAATAGTGCCTACATTTTAACAGCTGATCTAAATCTTAGTCCACAATTTTAATGATGCAAGAAAGTCGTCATTTTTATGCAACTCAATTTTTTCCCAATCCCCTATTCTGCCAGATGGCAGAAACTTAAGATGGCAGCATCTAGATTCGAAGGGCTGATTTAGCACCACGGCATTGGTGAGCATCAGTCTTCAGTGGTCATCCATCTGGACTGGCATCCGCTGAGGCATCCATCAACCTGTATCCACTCACATCCACAGCTTGCTGTGTGATTTTCCCCCACTCAGTCCGGGAGGACCCAGCTCTAACTTTTTAGACCATTTTAGAGCTCCTCTTTGGACACTGAAAGATTATTACTCCATCTCAGCACCACAGAGGGCTGTGGCTAAACCCATAACACTGTGTCAGGCTATTTTTAAAAATTATTATAAAAAGTTTTGATTATT